ATAACTGCTTGTAATTAATCTAATGAAATAGTGCCATTAAAGAATCTTGAATCTAACTTCCCAACGAAGGGCCTTCACATAAAAAACGTCGAAGTTCTGCTTTTCGGGTAGTTGTATCCCTCTTAGTCCACAGCTTTCTTATATTTGACTTCCACAGTGAGTTCCACAAGCGCTAGCATTTGGGGATCATTAACCAATCAGATGTGTTTAATCTTCCTGACTAACCAATCAGATGTGTTTAATCTTCCCGACCAACCAATCAGATGTGTCTAATCTTTCCGACTAACCAATCAGATGCATGTAAGTGAAAGATAGTGGTAGTTGAAGTCAAATCTAAACCTCACTAATGCCAGTATGCAAGAAACCACCAATTAATCTGCGAAGATTTTATTTGATATGCTGTCAGCTATCATTTTGTAGTATAAGTTTCAATACAGTTTTATCACTGTGAAAAGCCTGTCTAATCGCCATCGCAGCAATGCCACTTGTTACGTTCTGTAATGATTTGCCATCAACTCCTAAAATGATTTGACCCGGTTGTAGCAGTGGACATGATCCTGCGACTGTGTCTTCGTTCTGTCAAACAAAAGGCAGAAAAATCTTGCTAAAAATTGTTTTGCTACTATGAACAGACGCCGATAAAATTCCTAAAGCCTGCCGCACACGGGAGAAACTTGCTGAGCTAACCGCCTCGCGTGGCGACTAGCTCAGCTGTATGCATTTTGAGCGCGCACGTTGGGAAAACTACTCAACAACAATATAATTGATGATTCCCCTTATTACGTTTTCGTAGCGCTTTACATTGTGGTTATAATGTTTGTTGGCTATCGCGCACCTGACCCTAGCTTTTTTTAAAAGTTCTTTCACGGGTCAGGACAAAAAATAAGCCATCTTGAATATCAGTGATACCACTATAACCGCCATGCAAAGCGCTACGAAAACGTAGCGCTTTGCATTGTGGTTATAGTGTTATCACTGATATCACTACGTAATCTAAGTTTAAAGATAAAGATCAAAGCCCAGCAAATAACTTTAAAACCAAACATAATAAAAGTTAGATTGCTCTGAAGATGTTGTATTGTAAACAACGAAACGTTAGCTAATTAAATTTTTACTTTTATTATGTTTGGTTTTAAAGTTATTTGCTGGGCTTTGCTCTTTATCTTTAAACTAAGATTTCCGCCTGGTGTATCAATTACTACGTAATCTAGTATTGACAAAATCGTTCATATTTTCCTCCATTTTATTCAAAGTCACATGAAGAAACTATGGTTTCTCATTGGCTAATTGATTCAAGCAGTTCAGCACTAAGCTTGCAATATTCGTAGACGTTGAACTTTTTTCCTCGTGAGGTGAAAAATATCAGACATGATAGATATTTTCCTCAATGCCACGAGTGGCCAAATCCTCACGAAAACTACCCGCATACGATAGAAACTAGCCTGCGAACAGGCTCTCAACCTGAATTGAGAGCCTGCATCGATGACTAATGAATTTGAATATCTGCCCCGTAACGTTCGTTTTTCCAAATATGGAATGTCTGTCCTTATATGGTGTTGTTTACAACTTTCGTGCAAACTAAATTTAGACTGTGCAAACTAAATTTAGACTGTACAGTTTATACTGTTTTTCGAAATATAAGATATTCAAGCAAAAGTTCAAATGTTTTAAATACTGTTTTCTCAAAACAGAACATTTCGTGCTTTGAGATAAGATGGCCATGACCAATTTGATCAGTTAATGTGTTTTTTATGCATAGTGCTTCAGCAGTTGACATATATAGAGCTCAGCGGAAACATATAAATTATAGCATCTGACCAATGAGAATTTCGCGTCACGATTTGAGACGCAGATATTCAGATTCATTAGTCATCGATGCAGGCTCTCAATTCAGCTTGAGAGCCTGTTCGCAGGCTAGATAGAAACTTGCTGAGTGTTCACTAGAGTGTTTTGCTCACATTCGTGGTAAATGATTTGCATTCTTCTGTATAAAATTCTAAACGATGATACTGCTCCTAACTTGAAAGAGTCACTGTCTCAAACTGACTGGGAGTAGTTTAACGCAAGCGAATTATAACTTAAGAAAGAGCTATACTGATTTAGCTCTAAACCGAGAAGGGAATTCCTAAAAAAAGTTTTAAATACAGCGAGGCAAAGCTTTGGAATATAGCCTTTCTCGGGAAGCAAAAGAGGCACGATCAATCCATATTTTCAAACAAAATATTAATCTTTGATTCTGTTACTAATATTAATGTATGGGTCACACCTCCTGTATTCAGCATGCACTTTTGTAAATAGTTTTTTTTTCTACGTATTTTCTTGTAAATATTTTGTATATAAATTGACGACGCCCCTCATGAAAACCAACATATGTTAATGAGGCTAGTGCCTTGAAATAAATTTTTACGATACGATATCATTCCACATACGCATGGCCACTGATTGTGCTTCCCGCGCTTAGAGGTCGACGTTTTTGCGGTTACGAGTTTTGACTTTGAAACTTATATTGAAACTGATATTATAGTTGCATACATGAGTGGTGATCTTACTGGACCTCACCCTACGAGGTACCCAGTATAAATAAAGTTGGTTTTATACCTTTATAGATTTTATCCTAATTTCTTTACTGTCCGTGTCTGTTCCTCCAGCAACGGATAAACCAAGATTGCTGGAATGTTTACTAAGTTCAACAACAAATGGCTGACTGTAATCCACAGCTTTATCCGTCTAATAAAATGATAGAATAACAATTTGAGTAAACATAGCAGTAGGGACGTGTATATCCAGCCAAACAGGCAGGTTACATTCCCTTGGGGTGTGGGTGACCAGTTAGTGCAACGGGCTTAAAATAATGTTTCATGACACGCCGGTTGCGGTGGCGTAGTCGGCCCCAAACGAATGGGTATGGTGGGTGAAGGTTAATTTTCCCACCCTTAGGGTCTATGAGACGCTATCTCGTGTATTTTAGACACGTTTAGACACGATAATCTGAAAGCCACATATTTGGTATATTTTATGTCACAAATGAAAACATTACGAGCTGACGCTCTCTCCAAGTTTCTCCTCAGTTTTGGAATATATAGACCTTATGCATAATGACGTCACAAAGCTTGATGCCCGCGAGGACTGCTGGTCTTAGTAGTCATCGCGCGGGAAAATTTCGATAGTGGCCATTTTTAATTGTTTAATTTTCCCGGGCGATGACTACAAAGACCAGCATCCCTCGTGGGCATCAAGCCTTGTGACGTCATTATGCATAAATAATGTTTACAACATGAGCGACCGTGTTGTATCGGATATACAAACTCGAGCCGAAGGCGAGAGTTTGTATATCCGATACAGCACGGCCGCGAATGTTGTAAACAACTTAAAAAACGACCCATCTTATGAGTTCATTGGCGAAGTAATTTTAAAAATAAACGTTGTCTAAGCCGAGAAAATCAAAGTTAAAGTTTATGTAAATCAACATGAATCTGTATCACATATACAGATACGACACGCTTATGATTTTTCTTTGTGTTTTCTTCATGAATTATTAATGAGTTTTTTAATTAAGGTCTATTACAAAATTGGTCCTTAATTCAGAAAGTCTCCCGAACATCCAGCGTGCATCGATGACGTTATCCTTTACGACAAAACATTTGGTATTCCTTTATTCCATATTGACTGTACATGTACCAAAAACACTATAGATTTTCCCTAGGCTAGGTACCCCAGTTTTCTTCTAATGTCAATCCATAAGGGACAGTTTAACTCGACCTGATAAACTTAGTTTTAAGTTCTTTGTACGTTTGCATGGCGATAAAACATATAATAGTTTTGTTTGTGGAAACACCACGTAAATTTTTACTGAGTAATAAATTTACGTGGTGTTTCCACAGACAAAACTATTATAAAGTTAGTTTTGTTTCATTTACCTGAACCATGCTGGGTTTAGATCTTTTCTTCTTTTTCTTCAGCTTTTGAACCACTCCATTCCTATCGCTTTTTCCAACAGATGATTCGCCATTAAACTTCCTCAGGCGTTCTGGAAAGCTTGCAATGTTCGTTTCTACTACAGCATTCTCATTTCTACCATTCAATTGAACAGTTTCGGATGGTACAAAATTGTCTTCATGCTTTACCGCAATGTTGTTTGTAAAATCATGTCTACTTTTATCTGAATAAATATCATCAGTGTTTTCTAAGCTTTCCTGAAAATCGCCTGTCTCTAAGAAAAGTTTGTCCGGTATAGGCGGTGGAATTTCAAATTCACTTTCTTGGAGAAAATTATTCATCGGCTGTTTTAGGGGGATACGAGATTTATCTACAGTAGCATAAACAGGCATATCGTCTTCCTCGTCTACAAAACCGTTGCTGTTTGGGAAGCTTTTTGGTCCATTTTGTACAACATTATTTGTTGCTGTGTTAGTCTTCAAAAATCGTTTAGGATCATCGCTTTTGTTTTGTAACATTTTGCTCGTTGAGTCATTATTATCCTCTGATGTATACAGTCGATCCCCAACATTATCAGCATTGAACGCAGTTTTTCGCTTACTGTCCATAGATGTAGCACTAACACCCTCGTGTTTCGCACCAAGGTCCATATTACTCATGGAAGTATACAAATCATCATCACTATCGTCTCCATTCGACATTGCAATCTTATCCACCACATTTCCAGATGCTCTATTTGGTCCTTTATAATCCACAGGTGAATATAAACCATCATCATCGTAAGTCGAATCTTCAAAGGGATATCCATCGTTACTCCTAAATTTCTCGTTCGTACCCCTATAATCAACAGTTGTAGTCAATTGTCCTATCCTATCACCAGGACACTCGGTCATCATTTCCGCTTTTCTCGTTGTTGAATAATTCGGCATATCCTTACGCGACGCGTCTTGACGATGTCCCAGCTGATTAGTTTGTAGCGTGGGCGTTGACGAGCGCGCAAATATTCCGGGAGATTTCTTGTTCAATGGCAATTTATTTTCACCAAAACTAGTTTCACCCAAAATCCGATTACTCTCAAACCGATTATTACCAGGGGTCCTTTTATTGTTGAGATCAAACACAGGGGGAGGGGGTAGCTCGAATGATGAGTCACGTGGTCTGGTGCCGAAATCACGTGACATACTACCTGAATCTACAGGATCGTCAAGAAAGTGTTTAGGTGGATGGGGTAAGGCATCTTGTTTATGACGAAGTTTGAAATTTGTCTTCGCATGTTTATCATCGTTCTATAGTTAATAAAAAAAGTTAATTTTGTTATCAAAATCTAGACTTGGATTCTAGAGAGATGGACTTGATCCAAGTCTAATCAAAATCTTACACACGTAAAACGCACAAGTTGTTACAGGTCTGCAAACATGTTGTTACAAATCTGTTCAGAAGCTGTCGACAAGTTATGTTCGCACTGCTTGTTCCCAGTTGTTGTAACAAGTTTGGAACAAGCTGTTAACAACTTGTAACAAACTTGATGGCATTGTCAGACTTGTTACAAGGTTGTTCTAACAAGTCTGATACAGCCATGATATAACAAGAATGTTACAAGGTTGACAACACAAAGTTGTAACAATATTGTTATATCATGACTGTGTCAGACTTGTTGGAACAATCTTGCAACAAGTCTGATAATATCAACAAGGTTGTTACAAGTTGTTAACAGCTTGTTCCAAACTTGTTGACAACTTGGGACAACCAGTGCGAAGACAACTTGTTGGCAGACTTGCTACAAAATGTGAGACTTTTGCGTGTGTACGTTAAGCCCTAGGCAAACTAGGAAACATTGTTATGGAAACATTTGTGATTCTCGATGTTTCCTCAAATGTTTTCCTCTTTGCCCACCCTTGGAAACATTGTTGCGGAAACAAAATTTTCTTCCCGAGAAGCAAAAATGTTTCCTAGCAAATTCAGAAACATTTGACGTTTGAACTTTCCCTATGTTTCTCACTAATGTTTCCTAGTGTTTGCGCACTCTGGGAAACATGTCGAAACATTGGTAGGAAACAATGTTTCCTAGTTTGCCCATGGCCTTATAGAGTCAGTATTCATTACATGTAAAACTAATGTGGATAGGAAAGAATTAGGAGCATATAAACTTTTAAAATTTTGTGCGTACAGAACCTTTCCTGTGCGGGGGCTTCGGTGACGAAAATAAAAAGAGCGCTTTCAATTTGACTCTGTCAGACACTGCATGTTTTCTCTGGGTACTTTCTCATGCAGCAACACTGGATCAATAAAAAACGAATAAAGTTCGTTTCGCTTAAAGGAAGCTTACCTCAAATAAACCAAGCCAGGAATTCGTTGTCGTTGAAGAATCAGAACTTTTGTACGAATACAGCGACAACCTGTCATGTCTTGTTTGTCTGGAGTCCATATGATGCGCCTGATGATGAAAATATATGAAAAAATGGCCATTCTCTATTATCAGTGCAGAATTACATCTGAAAGTCGTCATGTTTATTCCTCATACTTTTACCTGTTTGTGTTTTTAACCCTTCAAGAACATTGTTGCCGACAAAATATCTGGAAACATGACTAGAAAATGATGTTTTCGTAAGAGTGTTTCCCACAAAATTTCTCGTAGAAAAGAAACTAGATTTTCCTTTGAAGTAATAGATAATCTGTCCGAGCAGTCATTCACAACGTCAGAAATTCTATAGCTATATTTTCTAACTTTCTAATGTTTATACTCACTAACTCACCTGTAACCGCGCGTGTCCAGTTTTTTCAATCCAGTCATCAAACTTTGTTAGATCACGGGGGAGAATCGCGGAACGGATTTCTTGAAATAGCGAACCCTAAAATTGAAATAGAAAAGGTTAGTATTAGTTTATAAACTGTTTGATTAACCAACGAACAGAAAGACAGAAAAGCAAAGTTTAAACACCTGAACCAAACTAACTTTCTTTTAATAAATATTTTAAGAGGACAGCTCCTTCACCGAAAGGTGCTTTAGAAGGTCCTCCATGGATAGTTAATTCTATTCATCAACTCCATCCCTTATTATCTATCCCTCAACTCCATCCCATCCTTAAGTGTCACTACATAAGGAAACCTCAACTAAACTAATTATATTTATAATGGATATAACTCTATCAGTTCTAAACTGTCAAACCTTCTGTGTGATTCAGTGGGGGAAAACCACTGGGGAAAACCTCAATCTATAAGGTCCAGTGTTATTACAAGAGAGTCAAATGATGAAATGAACCCGGAAAAAATTTGCGGTGTTGCCCGTAGAGTCACACTAGAACCTCTCTGGAAGCGAGGTGGAACCTAACCACATCCACAGAGGCACCCCTCTCCCTCCCTCCCTCCCTCCCCAAACTACACCCAATCAACAATGAAACAAACAGGCAAAGACCAAACAAACAAACAGACTGATAAAGAGAAATTCAAAACAAGAACAACTTCTTCCGCATTACCTATACCTTTTCTGGTGTATTTAGTAGGTCTGACAAAACAGTCAAGAATGATGTTAATGACAGACGGACTGTTCTGTATTCACTGAGATAAAATGCGAACGCTTGTAGATCGTCGCTAGGCAACAACTGACGTGCTTTCATTTCCAGTATTTCATCACTGTGATCCAGGACTGAGTGATGCGTCAATTGAGAACTGCCCATTGGATCGTGAAATGACGGAGTCTGGAATCGAATGGAGGACAGTGTTATTATATAGCTCTGATCAAACGAAAACAAAAGTGCATGAGAATTACTTTGTTTTAGCTTTGTTCTCTAGTTTATATAGAGTTAGCAACCTTTTTAAATGCATCTGCCGGTTGAGAAACATAAAATAATAGTTAAAAATTGTCAATTAAAATATCAATGATGCTTTAAAATTGATGCCATATTTTACAGCCATATAAGCAAAACTTACTGAATTTCAGACATCATTTTCTCTTTGGCGTATCATCTAAAATCTCTTCATTTTAGCATCATTTTACAAATAAAGCACTACATGCACGTACTTTTTAAGTTTATTTGCCGATTGAGAAACGTATCGAAAAATAAAAAATTTGAATTTAGTCATAACCTCATGTGGTATATTATAGTAAATTATAAGCATTATAGTTTTGAGCGCGTGTTACGCAACATACAAAAATATCTCTTAATCTAAACTCTTATCCCCGTTTGATTGGCGCTTCAGTAACAACTTGATACAATGATAACATTTTTTTGATTTTTGACACTTGTTGATAAGCTTGCCACTATAGCCTTCTACAAACAATCTTGTTTAACTTTGTGTGTGATTCTTATGAGTGTAAAGAAATGTAGGAAGTATATTATAAAAGACATTAAAAGGGCACACCTTTTTCATACTCTTTGACTTTTGATCACTGGAGCTTGCAGAGGACGTTCTTTAAGATAGAAAATTTAAAGTGTTATATTTAATTCAGCCCTAAATAATTTTCATGATACTGAACACGGTACTTGATTACGGAAAATAGGTTGTCAATTTCTCTTGTGAATTGTCTAAGAGAGAATATTGCTCGTACATTTTAAGCAATTTGAGGTAACTCATTCCACAACACTGCCCCGTTGTAACTAAAACATCGTTTACCATAGTTTGTTCGCGGTTTTGATCGCGATCATAATATCATCATGGATAATAAAATAAATTTATTTTATTATCCATGATATCATTGCATGCAACGTTGAAATGTTCTGGCCTTCTGCACACGTGAAAATCTCACATCTTGTAGCAAGTCTGCCAACAAGCCGTCAACAAGTTGTGTTCGCACTGCTTGTCCCAAGTTGTCAACAAGTTTGGAACAAACTGTTAACAACTTGTAACAATCTTGTTGATATTATCAGACTTGTTGCAAGGTCGTTCCAACATGTCTGATACAGTCATGATAGAACATTATATAATACCTTATTGAATTCTGATCGTTTAATTGGCTGTTTATGGTCACGTGATATTGAATGGAAAATTCCATTTCCCAAGAGTGCAATGGAATACGTTCCATTGCACTCTTGCGAGTGCATTTGTACTATACGTTTTGTTCCATTGCACAACACAAAGGTGTTTTCGATAAATCGCATCCGTCAAAATGCTTCTCGTACGGTGATTGCAGTTTATTTTAACCCGATATTCGAAACTCAGTAAATGGGATTTAATGCAAACACGACTCGTCAAAATGGCGAAATCTTACAGTAAACCTTTTAATATTAGTCTATTTTGGTATTATATAAAACAAATAATGAATGTTTTTATTCGTGCAATGGTAAGAATATTTTCATTCGGTGAAAGATGGAATGTTCCATTCAACTCGGCTGTCGCCTCGTTGAATGGAACATTCCATCTTTCACCTCATGAAAATATTCTTACCCTTGCACTCATAAACATTCATTATTTGTATAATATTGTTACAACCTTGGAACAACCTTGGAGCCGTTGGAACAACCTTGTAACAAGTCTGATAATGCCATCAAGCTTGTTACAAGTTGTTAACAGCTTGTTCCAAACTTGTTACAACAACTGGGAACAAGAAGTGCCAACACAACTTGTTGACAGCTTGTACAGATTTATAACAACTTGTTTGCAGACATGTAACAACTTGTGCGTTTCTACGCGTGTATAGTGTTGTACTTTTATTAAAGCGTGCCCACGTGATTTTCAGAGCACAGTAACGTTCGACTGGGAAATTGTTAGAAATACACTTTCTATGCTTGTATAAATTTTCAAAGGATGAAGTGTTTTTTCGCCTTTATAGTTAAAGTCAGAAAAACCGTAATTAGAAAGTGCGAGCCCCAAAAGATACTGACAAGCGAAACCAGCAAACAGGTAGACAAATAGACAATTAGAAAGGAATACCTAAGAATTACACAACGTTTCCATAGATGGCAGTACGCTAAGTAATAAGACTACAGGCTCAAGATTCCCAAGCGCGGGAAAAGTTTTTCAGAATTTCAAAATGGGACAGGCAACCGTTCAGGAAGAGTTAATTTTTGTTAAATTTATCGCTTTTATTTGGCTGAAAGAAGCGAAAAGGCTTCAAAACAGCATAAAGGGTTTGTCAAACCTTGATGAATTGTTAGTTTCTGTGTCTCTTAGCCATCTAGTTTCGTCGTAAACTCGCTTGCCATGAGGCAGTATCCCGACATCTTTCAGCATGATCACAAGTTGTTGTGAGCTCTTGAGCACTCGTACCGCTTCTTCGTGCGAAATATTTAGAAAACTTTTGCCATTGACGTCTAAAATTTGATCCCCAACCTAATTTTATGAAGAGCAGTCAATTTGAGAAAGTATTTTGGACTATTTGGTAAGTTCAGTTTGTTAAAGCCAGGGGTCAAGATATATCCAGGTACAGGATGATGTAATTTGTATGGGGGCCTTCAAAAAGCTTCAATAGATCTTTCCAGGGACGCCGGAAATGGGGGGCAGGAGGGGCAGCCGCCCCGTTGCCCTTTACCAGGAGGGGCAAGGGGGGCAAAGGTGCCCTTTCAATTTAAAGGATTGCCTTGGCGAAATAGCGAATTGTCAGAAATGTTAGTGCATTTCTTTTACGAATTTGCTTCAGAAAACGCAAGAAATGCAGTCATCGAGCTTCAAGAATAGCACAATCGCCTGGCGGAGAACAACCTCATCCCCAGGGCCTTTTGAGGAAGGAGGCGAAGCCTTTGCTGCCCTTCGCCTCCTTCCTCGAAAGGCCCTGGGGACAAGGTTGGGCGGAGAACCCTCTCACACCCCTATCATCCAAAAATAGAATTTACATCATTGGGCGAAGTTCAACTCCCGATGTTTTGCAAACATCTCTTAGTATATATCAATTCAAAAGTGCCCTTTTCACGAAAATCTGCCCCCTTGCCTTCACATCGTTCCGGCGTCCCTGGATCTTTCCATGCGAGAAGAACCATAGACAGCCCAAAAGCTAGGGTTAGCCTGCAAATCAACCAAGCCCACAAGTCTGTAAGTGCAAAATAAAATTTCATCTAGTTGGGCTGGCTTGTTTCCAGTATGAACACAATTTGAATTTTATATGCATTAACAGTCTTTATAATTAAGCCTGTCAAAGGACACACAGCCTGGCGATTTAGTCCCGCTATGCAAATATTTTCGTTTTCACTGACTGTGAAAACAATCGATTGCTAAAGAAATGAATAATGATAATAATTTTGAACTTGCATAGCGGGACTTAAAAATTGTCGGGCTGGCTATGGCACTGTCATGAATTTCTTGGTTAGCTGCATGAGCTCATACGAATGAGCCCAAAATGGAGCGCAGAACTTAAAAAGGGACATACAATCTGAGCGCCATTATGGAGGCGGACCCTATAAACTTGAGAAAGGGGAATGGCACTGCAGTTGCAATTTTGTGTATGCATAATTAATGTCTGTCTGAACTACTGAATTGTCTAACCTGAATTCCTGCTCTGTCTGCTCCAGAGTTCCTTTCAACAGATGCAATAAATATTCCCAGGCCATGCTCCATTCCACCTCGGATCTTCAAACCTATCTCTGCTCCATCGGCAACAAACAAGTTGACCTAGATAGTAGTTTATTTGTAACTATGTAGAGTGCACTGTAAACTGGAAAATGTAAAAACCAGTGATATTTAAATTAATCATATCTTGCCACTGCTAGCTTCCTCTTGCCCAAAATAGTGTCATTTTTTCACATAAAAAAATTCAGGAATGTTTCCACATTTCTGATGTGATATTGACATCTTGGGTATGGTGATGTCTGATTGTTCCATGAATGCTGAGACATTTTAAATGGGCAAAGAATATGGCACTCAATGGGTAAAGTAAGTGAAAAGGTTTGTTAATGGCCTTAATACCTTCTACAACAGGGGCCGGTTGTTCAAAGCTGGGTTAGCTTAACCCCAGGTTAACCTAAAATTCAAAACAGACTTCCTCACAGCTTGTCTATAAATTTGGAAATATTTTTTCAGAGATCTTGTCTTGATCGATAGGAGTTTACTTCTCTGAAGTTTTGAAATAAACAGACGTGCAGAAATACATAAACTAAAACAGCAGGTTAAATTTTAACCGAGGGTTAGCGCTAACAACTGACCCCAGGTTTGATTCTCAACACGGAGTATACTGTCCGATCATAATTTCACAGGTTTACACCTTTTAGATTTTAGATGCTAAAAAACTTTTCTGTATTATTTTGAGGATATGGAACTGGAGAATTTTTGTTAGCTCTAAAGGAAGTAATTATATCCTACCTTTCTCTCATCATCAGCACCCAGCAATCTCATTTCACTTTTATCTCCATTCATCATGTTTGCATATTGTAAAGGAGGGGACACTTCATTTCCTCTAGGGTCGGTCCATCTGTAGGACGAACTGGACTTGAAACTACCAGGAATTTTACCCACTGATTTTACCAACATATGTAAGATGGGTGCTTCTTGGATCACCTATATATTGTTATATTAATTCATTATGTGAATCAATAATTATATTACACTGGTTCATTCCAGAAAACAGCCATACTTGGGGTGGTGCCTTGCATGGGACTTTTGTCCCCTTCTCACCTCTACCTATGGTCTGCTGTTTATTTCATTTTTGCAAGATCAATAAAGCTGTTAAATCAAATCAAATCAATAAAATCATATCCCCTCCACAGAGGAAATTTGAAGTTACAGTAACCTTCCTACCCCCTCTGGATGTCCTAATACACTTACTATTCTCTTGTCAATTGTTAGCAGTGATATAAATGCAATGAAAAATGCACATTTAGAAGTGCATTTGGAGTAATGTTTTGAAATTAACTGGCTGTACAATTTGGAACCACCCGCCGCAAATGCTTTATCCTGAGTCAAGGTCTGAACTTGAAAAGCAATAATAAAACCACTTAAATCTTTTGAGCAACAGCCCTTCACCATGAGGTTAATAATATTCGATACCGCGCTGACACTGTATTGTCACCTACTAAAACTGTCTGTACCAGTGTAGGTAGTACCAATGTGAAAATGCTGTGCTGAGTGGTTATATATTACTACCTTAAAAAACAAGCAGAAACTCGACGTTTCGAGCGAAGGCCCTTCGTCAAGAGTTTTTTTACGCAATATATGTAATATACGCAGGCTATATATATGCAGTACTGCAGACGAGTTTAGGGAAGCCAAATATTTCACATTGTTCTAATTCTTAAGAAAACAATCTTAAGGACAATGATAAACATTGTTAATCTCTGGTTTTTGACACTTGTCAAAATTTAATGCTGCTTCCTAGCAATGGTTGCGCGCACGTTCTGTTTCCGATTTTCCATTAATTGTAAAACTTCCTGTAAATTCCAAAACTAAATGTCTTCAGCTATGAGTTTAGTGTATAGATTCATAAAATAAGAGCGTGCATGGCAGAAAAATAAAAATCCCGACTATTCTAGGTCGACTGAAAGGCTGCTACTGATGATGAACAGGTGTTAAACGTAGGCGTCGTCGTTAGCGAATATTCATTTCATTTTTCTGTGGTAACTTTTAGTAATAATACTTTAGTGTAGGAAAAAAGCATTCCCTACAACAGTACTGGAAGTATGGTGGGTGCAACTAACTAATTTTACTTTGTCATTGGCCAAATTTATACAAAGTTCTATCCGCGTTTATTTGATCACCTCGCTTCAAAAAACAACGAGAAGAATTTTGATTTTTGAGGTAAATTGATTTATCGAAGTCTTTCAAATGGGGTTTATACAGTACCTATAGCAAACTTTCATGACACTGTACTTTGTTCAAAAAACGTCGTTACTATATCAGCCACCCTTGGCTTATCGTTTTGGAGTTGGACTGCGATTCACTTGTTGGAAACGACCGAGATTGGAAAGAATCAGAATTATTGATTCGTGATAATTCGTTCTGCTTTATACAGCTAGTAATTCGTAATGTTCTGTTAATAGATAACTACTATTCTCTGCGAGAGGAATTTACTGTATTGTGTCTGCAGTACCCGAGTCAATCGCAATACTTACCATCACAGCCTCATGGTGGGAAATGTTCCTGAAATCTACTCTATTCGCTTCCAAGATCTGGTCACCTAAACATATTCCCGCGTTGTGTGCCACAGAGCCTCCATCGACAGACGAAACAAACAACCCGATATTATATTCAGACCCACCGCGTATACAGAATCCGAAACCTTCGCCCTCGACTTCTCTGTCTAATACAACAATCCTGGCATTAGATTCCTTTCTATCTCGTGTTGGTTTTGGAGTTTTGTGAGGTGGTGTCTGTGTTCTACGTTCGAAACCTAAAGACGAGCCGCTGTGCCGATTGCGCATATCGCCTGGTAGACTCCGTGTTGTATAGTAACCATATTTTGGTGAATGTTTTTTCGAGTATGTAGCATAATGTCTACCATACGCTGACTTGGGTCGATTACATTCATAATCAAATCTCTCTCTGTGCTTATGCGGAATAAAACTTCTCATCAACGGGTAGATTTCCTCGCGTTGTTGTGGTGTATTACATATATGATGTAGGGACTCGACTAAACGTTGGATGTTTTTATTCTCTTGGTATCTGGTTAAAATCTCGGTAAACCTAGCACGGTCGTGCTCGTTGAAAGATTCGAAGACGGAACGATGCAGTTGTGATGCTTTTGGCGAGAGTTGCCAAGGATTACGCTTTGATTCGAAGTTCGCCATTTTGATTGAAGTTAAACCACACACTTAATTCATCTTGCTAGTCCATGATCCCTCTTTGTTGACACTCATTAAGCCATCGTTTCTTTGCGCCATAATAGTTCAAACACGCGACAATGTCTATGTTAATGTGCCTACTGTTTTGTTGTCTATTTCGCGTCGCGTAACCAAGTATCAACAATCGCGTCATTTGGTTCGAAGGTCATTTGTCATAATGGTGACGTTATTAATGACACACTTGAAATGCTTTGGAATAAATAATTAATATACAGAAGCTTTTGGTGAAATATGCTTGACTGGATCAGTCATCGGTGAATTAATATGGTGAGCTTGTAACATTTCAGTTTTGTGTTTTGTCCACGAGTTTAGAAAAGAATGATGGACTGATGGTCCAATACGTAAATCCTCAAGTCATATGATCAAAAGAGTGATGGCCCAATACGCAAATACGCAAGTCATGATCAGTTTGACTCCTGTACGGTTGAATTTTCGCAGCTGGAAGTGTTGGTGTTAATTGTTGATTTTCAAGATTACTATGTGCATGGTGATATAGTCAATTCCTCCACAGGTGTTTAATTCGTTTGTGGAGGAGTTTGTCATGAAATTGTTTTTGCAGGGAGTTCAGACTGCTGGGTTTCGTGTCAGAAAGGTGATGAACACTACACAGCATGCAGGGAAATTAGTTTGGTCCTCAAACTGTTGAAAGAAATGAAAGATGTAATGATATACTGATTAAAGCACAGGTTTATAAATCCTAGATGAAATCCAAGTTTTTTCCAGTTATCATATAGTTGGATACGACACAGTCGGATGGCTCCTTATTATGATAGCGGTGCTTATTTAATATTTATGGATGAAATACTAATGTTTTATAATGAAGACATTAGATACCCCTTTATCGAATGCTTTGCCAAGGAGTCGATAGGCCAGATTGGCCCAGATACAAGATTACTCGACAAGCAATGATTTGGCTGTCTAATATTTCAATTAATGTGGGAGTTCCCCTCCAACGTCTAACGGTAGAAAGCAAAAGGTTTTTTGATCGACACAACAAGAAGAGGAAGGTTATGAACTACAAAATACGTAGATAAAATTTAAACGATTATTAAATTCTCCAACTTCAAATATTTACACAAATATAAAACTATACAAATATCAAATTATTTAAACTAACAATACATAAAGCATACACAATTTTATATTTCACGGCCGTCCAAAGGACATTTGGTCGAGGATTGACCCAACCACGTATCAATGCAGTTCGAATGAAATACATGTTCGCACGGTAAAATCTTCCGCGTTTGTCCAGCCTCGTAATACTCCATACAAACACCGCAAATGTCATGCACGTGTTCCTCGCTTGCTCTATCTTCTCTCAAACAAGCTAGTCGGCTGTCGGAGACCGTTTTGGTCGGAACAGATTCATCTAGCCGCAAAAGAAATTCATAATCTTCTGGAGTAACGTCTCTGAATTGTAAACTGAGTAGGTAACTGACCATATCTTGCATTTCTTTAGGGACATTTTCGTTACGAAGTGCAAACCTTTCTGCAGCTGAGTGATCGCGATCTCCACTGGTGTTTCCAGAATTTTGCCTTGCAATTTCTTCCAGTCGTTTTAAGCCAAGTTTTCGTAATTTTTTCTCTATGTTAGCCTTATGTTCTAGATTCTGTTGCCGACAGTTACCATCCCGTGACATTTGCTTAGTACATTTATAGAATTTAACCCGAATTGCTTTCTTCCGGCCTCGTTCTAGCGTGATATTCTCCGGCGTTTCACACTCCCGACAAAAGTCTACGAATTTCTGTTCCTTCGATGCCGGTGTTCGCTCACGCTTCGTGCGACGGGAAATCGTTGTCTTTCGTCGGTGAAATTTTAAATCATAATCGTAGCCGTCTAGCAATTCGTCTGATTCGCTTATCAATTCGCTGTCACTTGGAGTTGTCGGATCTGAGTAACTCGTTTGACGTGTTGTGTCCATTATATTGTATAAATATTTTACAAGTTCAGCTCGTTCTCGTCTTAGCTTGGCTCTTTTTACAGCATCTCTTGTTCTGATTGTTGTTTGTTTTCCTTCGTTCACAACGGCTGGTAGAGCTGTCAGTATCGTAGGACATTTGTTTACATTCATATTCGACGTGTAGTTTCTTTCTAATACTATGGCAGCCGTCTTTGCTAACGAATCTACAGCCATATATACACTTGCTGTGCTGTGTAACTATATAATACAATCTTAAATAATCAAAATCCAGCTATTCTTTGCCAGCCAGCCAACAGCCAACATGCAAAGCGAATGAAAATAATTTGTCGACCTTGGAGTTTTAAAGACACAGAATACATATAAAGAGTATGACGCAATTTAGTTATTTTCATGCGAAAGCTGGGTTTTCGCGGAGTTACTTGTTGTGGTGCAATTGTAGATGACGTATTTCCTGTAGTGCGTGGGAGCCATGCATCAGTAGTCGGAAATGCAGAAATAAACAATTTTGAAAATTTTACTAGTACTGTTTTCAGAATTACCATTGCATTGCATTTAACCGTGATTTAATGAATTTCTGTTAATCCCTTTAGAGTGAAATCATGCTCTGCGAAATGTTTATATTTATACTCGATCATATTTATATTTAATATTTGTACAGCGTACATAAAGTATGGAGGTGTAGAATTTTGCGCATCGCAGGCTCAGGGTTATTTTAGTTTGAAATTTGAAAATATTTTTGACTTTTGAGAACTTTCGCTTTTGGAATGATGTTGTGAACGATGTTTTACTTTGTATTGAAAAGGTTTTTAATTATTTTGAATAATGGATGAGGAGGATAGTCAAACGAGAAAAGGCGGGCCGACATTTGAGCCACCAGTTTATAGGCAACGTTATGATTTTGTTGAAAATATTGTATGTGAATTTGGCGCGAAGAAGGTATGCATCAACATTCCTATACACGTGCTCGTAAAAAAAGCAGAGATGTTTGCTTGCATTGAACTCAAGATAACATTTTAAAAATATGTTTCTATGTTTTTTCAAATATTTTTGCTTGGCCATGGTCTTTCATAAATTTAAAGACCTGATTCCTAATAATATTATAAAGTAAGATAAAGTAACAATGTTCTATGGCTGACCTTTTATTTTAGTAAATTTAAGGAAATTTCCTGAAGCTTGGATGAGAGTAAATTGTTTCCTTCATGTTCAGTTTCAAGATTTGCATATGTTAGTATCCCATTGAGTGCCATTGTTATCCCCTTGATTTGGTATTGTTTTCATTTTTCAATTCATGGCAACTATAAAATAATATAAAGCCATTGGAATTGAGGTATCGATTTACTGTCACCCGCCCACAAGGGTTATCAGGACAGGAGCTGTGTGAAATTTTATTTTATTATACGTTCGAAACGTACCTACGATGGACTGTAGAGTTTGCTAAATGCAGAAGAATCGTCAAACATTTTCTGAAGTCAAAATTTGTTGAATTTTCAGACAAAATTTGTCAAATTTGACACCTTTAAAATAATGAATTATGAAAAAAAGCTGTATACACCCTTTTCATAAATGGCTGCCGATTAAAAATTCTTTTATGTGCATATAAATTGGCCCAACTACCCTCGTACTCATGTTAAGATTTCAAAGGAATGTCTACCTAGAAACGTTGGGCCAATTTATATGCACATAAAAGAATTTTTAAGCAGCCATTTATGAAAAGGGTGTATTAACTTTTGAAAATTTAGGTGACTGTAAACTTAAATACCATATTTTCTGTTTGGATATCAAGTTAATTAAGAAATGCTGGTATCCATAGTGAAATGCAGGACAAATTCTAATTTCAAACCCTGTTCTATTTCAGGTTATTGACTTTGGTTGTTCCGAAGGAAAATTGATCAGCCAGCTTAAGAGAGTGGATTGTGTAGAAGAATTGGTAGGAATTGATATAGACCATGAAACTCTTGAATTCAACAAGAGAAGAACAAGACCTTTCTCGGCTGACTATCTGGATCCACGATCAAAACCCTTGACAGTCAGTTTGTTTCAAGGTAAAGTACACACAGTACATGCATGTTCTCTTGGCTATGGTATCAAAATCGAAGTGTTATTCCAATGTGTGCAAGCACTCTTCCCTTGATGGCTATTAATTGCCACACTATTTTACTTGAGGTTTGCCAACAGATGATACTCAAGGGAAGAAGACTTGTTAAATCACTAAAAATTCTATCTAATTTAGGATCAATTGCAGAGTGTGATGAAAGATTTGTCAATTTTGATGTCATAGCATGTGTTGAGATGTGAGTTGAAACTGAATATATTGATATTTGAAATTATTGAATAATTAAGATCGCAAAAAATATGGTTCCTTAAGGTTGTTTTCCACTAGGCAGAATTTTCCACGCAGTGCAGAATTTCTCTTTGCCTTGTGATTTCTTGGGTGGAACTAATTGGACAAGACAAAGAGAAATTCCGCTCCGTGCGGAAAATTCCGCCTAGTGGAAAATTGCCTTCAAGATTGTAAAATTTAATATACTGTCTCAATATTTGTAAATCAATTGAAATTCTGTTGATACAGGAAAGTTCTAGATGGAATTGGCATAATGATGCATCATTGCAAACTGCATTTCAAAATGCCAGTTAATTTATACAGTCAAGTAGAATAACCTTTTTTATTTTTTTTAGCATAGAACACCTTCATCCACCAATTCTGAATGCAATGCCAGGTGTTATATTTGGTTGTCTTCAACCCAAAGTTGTTGTGGTTACAACTCCCAATTGTGAGTTCAATGTTCTTTTCCCTGATCTGAAAAGATTTCGACATTATGATCACAAATTTGAGTGGACCAGAGCAGAATTTCAATCCTGGTGAGTGTCTAAACATACTTGTAGAATGTTAATAAATTATGATTCGAATATAATGCAGCATTTGTTATCAATGGTATACTAGCTGCAATATGTAGTTTCTTTACATTAAATGTGTAATTTTGGACTAAAATTTATCTTTAGTTATTGACTGCTTTAGGCATGATGGATAAGTCTTTTACATTTAGAAAGCATATACTTAGAAAATTTAAATTCCTTTGAATTGTCATTAAATTCTTATTGGAATTCCGATTGGGAATTAATGGCCCTATATTTCAAATAAAATTTCATATTGGAATTCCAATTGGAATTAGAAGTATGTAAATTGGTAAATTATCTCAATTTTCAGGAGTTTGATGGTGTCTTCAAAATATGGTTATTCAGTCACTTTCTCTGGTGTTGGTGAAGGACCAAGTGGAACTGAGCAATTAGGACATTGTTCTCAAATTGCTGTTTTTGTGAAAAATCAAGACCAAAATGGTAGGTAATTGAATGTACAGTATAGTATTATTAGTATGCCTAGTTGTTAACACAAGAAGGATTTTAAATTTTCATTGTGTTGTAATGTTTTACCCTTTCAAATAATAGCTAAGTTAATGTCTATATTTCTACAAAAAAGAGGTCCGAGTAAGGAGTGAATCTGGGTCTCCCAGCTTGAAAGGCAAGCATGGTCACCACAACACCACAAGTGTTGGTAATTAAAGTACAGTGCTTTGTATTGTAATAATCAAAAGAATGAAAAGATTTGTTTTAACTATAGAGAATCGACATGAAATACCTCAAGGGCAAACCCCTTATGATAAGGTGAGACAAGAACTTGATACAAAATAAATAAGGTGAAAAGAAAGTTAAAATAAGGTAAGAGACTAGGAAGATTTAAAGAAGGATAGAGGAATATGGTCGGAAAGTGAAGGTGAGTTGAAAAAGTGAGGGGTGAGGTTAAATAAGTGGGGATGGAGAAAAAGGGAAATGCATGAAGGTAAAAATGATTGGATGATGCACGTAGGAAACCGAAGCTTGAGTTACAAAAAGAAAGTTACTTTAATCATGACTAAATCATTTTCTGGCCTACAATTATTTTCAAAAAATGTAGGCCATGATGTTACTGTAGTTGTGAGGTACAAATCCCAAATTTGACCTACAAAAAGTTTATCTAATCATTTAAATGATACGCTGCTGAAAATTAATGTTTACTGACTGAAAAAGTGACCTACAAATTTTTCCGTGAAATCGTCGGCTGCTCGATTTTTGGCCTACAAAACTGCTTTCTCATGTGACAATTTGTCATGCATTAATCCCGTTATGACAAAGAAAACTAAAAATGTGTTATTTTTGAAAACCGTCGATTATGTAAATCGTTTCTTTGTTCAAATATTGGAATGCAATAGCCAGATCACGAGTCGTACGCGTGAATATCCTGAACATGATTACTCTATCACCAGGTAATATCCTGTGTACACCCGTATAAAAAAGAACGAAGTTTAGAGGAGCTACTGACAGAAGAATTGGAATACTACACATTGTTCTTAGCTGATGATTATAAGACGGAAGAACATTCTCGTTGTTCTGAGATTCCTTTGGAAAGTTTTTTTCAGTTTCCAAGGGTTTCAAAACTAACCAACGACATTGAAGTGTTGAGGTAAGTTCACATGAAATTTTACTATTCTTAATAGTCATGATGAGTTCATTGTATTTGCTGTATGCTACTATAGGGTATAGTGATTAGGCTCCTTCCGTTGAATAGCGAATTCCAGGGTTCGTACAGAACTTGAAAGTCGTTGAATGTTCTTGAGTTTGAAAACAAAAATTCAAGGCCTTGAATGTCCTTACATTTTTCTCGCTTTAGTTTTTGGATATTTTCTGAAATTGTTTGACATTCAAAACGGACATTTTTTTGCATGTTCATATCTGACAAAGCTGTTTGAAACTCATTAAAGTTTACGTCAGATTTTACTGACTGTAACAACTTTTCTTCAGTATTTAGTCCTTGAATCTGCTGATACATAGCCTTGAATGTCCTTGAATTTGAGTCTACCTTACATGTACGAACCCTGGGATTCCCTGCCCTGAATTGTGGTTTGTAGAGTCATGTCTCACTGTTTGTGAACGCTGACCCACATGAATCTATATCCTGGGGCGCTTTCCATTTAATGGCCTGACCGGTCAGACCCGAATTCGTTTCTCTGCATCAATGGAAAGATCTGGGGCCGCGGTTGTATAAAACTCTTATTAAATAATCACTTTTTTAATCACTATTTTGTAGTTAAATAGTGATTAACTCTCGCTTCTTATTGGATGACATTTGCACTTAACATCATACTGTAGTTAACTTTAGTCACTTTTTATACAACCGGCCCCTGGTCTATGTTTCTCAAATATCCAGCGAAAATGGACCTCATTCTAATGTTATCTAAATTTTCCGGTCAGATAGGTCCGATGCGCAAATATTTTTGTGTTCCATTCAACAATTTGGTCATTCTGGCCGTGTTAATGGAAAGCGCCGCTGGATTGTGTTATGTTACAGTATATAATAATATTGCGGACAAAGCGAAGTTAAAATAAATGTAAACATTTCGTGTTTCATCGGTTTTCAGATCGGTTATACAAGCTAGTCCTAAACTCGAACTTAACGATACACAGACCGCTGTGAAGTACACACGGGCTGAAAATGAATGGCCTAGTGACGACGAGGACGATGGGGAACATAACGGGACAAAATGGGACTCTGAAGGTGTTGGCAACAATTATATCCAATATTATAAACTGGATTGCCTTCCTGCCGGGGATGAATGTTGGGATATTGAGATGGAGGGTGAGCAGGAGGATAAAGGGAGTGAACAGGATAATTGGACGAGTTGGAGAGGAACAAATGTACCTGATGATTGTGAGCATGAAAGGACAGAAGAGGATACTTTTGCTGATCGTGATTACACATGGTGAATATTTTAAAGGGATAATTTAAACAGTCGTGGTAATTACAAATTACACCATTAGCCATTTCAAACTAGACTTTTACTCATAAAAGCTTTATTTGGCGTTTCATATTAGCAATTCGGTTGAAGAAATTCTTTAAATTTGTATATAATGTTTTGAACAACGAAATGTATTTAACAAATACTTTTTATCTTGTAATTGTTTTGTTGTGTAGGAAACGCCACGTTTATGTACATTTATTCAAAATATATCGGTTGCTCATACTCCAAGAAAGTCCCTATAACTTTACATCACTAATGATATTATATATTTACAAACATTTAGCACACATATATAAAACTTAATATTAGCGACGGATAGGAAGGTTGTATGTTATCGATTTGCTATGATATATGCTAAGTTAATTAAGTGTGTTTTAAACGAATACAGAGTACAACTTGTCTTGATCTCGGTGGGTAAACTGTTCCAACGTTTTACTGATCTAATATAGTAAGAGTTTTTGAAGTAATCTTGATTATGTTTGATGATAAGGTGGAAGTCATTTGTAATACATCAAAGTTTCCACTTAAAAAAAGTCTCTACTTACTGTTTTCATTTTTATACTGAAGTAAAGTCTATCTGGTTTATATATATATATATATATCAATATATGTATATGTTATCAACAGATCGACCTGAGTTCACTTCTGTTGCATTATTACGTTCGTGTTTACCTTGAAGTGTTATTAATTGTTCATTTAACCTTCTTACTTTCGAAGAATTTGATGAACGTTTCGGCGTAGGTTCTCATTTCGACAAATTCGCACATTTTTGCCAAACTTTCTGCTTCTCTGCTGTAGTTCACAGCGTGTCTCAGTTGGTCCGCCTGTCGAGATGGATCGTCGTTACCCAGCCTGTAAGACAAACAGGCTTGTGCGAAAAGATTCTGAATATTTCGGAACTTGCTAAGTGGGTTACCTTTAAGGACGATTTTTTGTGTTTCCAGTAAATATTCCTTCGCCTTTTCGATATTTATGAGCGTGTCGGAATCGGGTAGCATATCGCCGGAGAGGGAGCAACCCAAGGAAAGCAAGGCTTTGTTGATATAAACCTTTTGTTGATATTCTGCTTTTGTGGTACTTTTGTGAATTTGATTCAAGTGACTACTTGCGGTGTCGTAACTTTTTTCCGCCTTGCTTATTAAAGAAAGCTGGTCCGTGCGATCCTTTGTTTTCATTGCCAGAATGTTCTCCAGTGTAGCAATTTGAACATAAAACGCTGCGGATATGATGCAAAATGAAAGTTTTTCTAAATCATCCAAACTTTTCTTTGCAATTTTGTGGCTTTCTTGGTAGTTTCCTTTGCAACGTTCCATAATGGAGTAAAGATATTGTTCCATTACTTTGAAACGCGTTTGGTTGGTACTGGAAGGTAGGGTCGTCGTATATACATTAAGATGTTCTTCAGCCTGGACATATTTGCCTTTTCTTAGGTGGAAGCTAACATATTTCGACAGACAAGTTAATTTCACGTCGCTGACTTTGTAGTTTTCCTGGGCTGTTTTGCTCGCTGCGTGGAGTTCATCTCCGTCGCAATTGTTGTTCAGAAGACTCGTCAGTTCCTCGTATACTAAGTCGGACGGGGCATTGGCACAACGTGCACCTATATTACGAAATGGATAATTCAAAGTATTCACGAATTATACAGGTACATGCAAACCTACTTCCCCCGGCTCGATTTGTATTCATTTCAACTGTTTTCACTATTTAAATTTAACCAAGATGCATGGGTCCTATTCTTTCTATCCACCTCGTATACTTATCCAGATAAATGTTTTGTGTTTGACTTGCCTAGGCAAAAGTGATCAATGTTTGTAACTCGTAATAAATCTCTGGAACCAGAGTACCCAGCCACAGAATAGACTATACACAGAAGCCCGACTTCTTGGTTTTTCCTATGATTTTGGCGTTCCCGTAATTCGTCATCAAAATACTGACACCATGGGCCTAGCCTGTGCGCGTTTATGAGGCATTCACCCCCTGAAAATATTCAAAATGGCGGACGTCTAGGGGGTAATGCCTCTGATATAAAGCACACTGACTAAGCCCACGGCGTCAGCATTTTGCTGATGAATCTGGCGTGGTAGCGGTTACCAGCGACCTTCCATATGTCTTTATTCTGTGACCTAACTAAACATGCATAAAGGGAGAATATTCGTTATAAAACTAACCTTCCTTTGTCAAACGTGGATCGATTCTTTTCTTCCATGAGGCAAAATCTATCTTCTTTACTTGATTATCGACGATCTCGTAACACTCGGGCACTTCAGTGAATACACCGCCTCGGCATTGAGCTATGAAGACCACAACCACGTACAACGATGGTACAACCTTGTCAGTTTCAATATCTATTACTGGCTCGAAATGGACATCCCAACGTTTGTCCTCGTTTCCATCCGTCGGCTCGCTTTTCTTTGGCCATAGCATCTTTTCAATCGCCGTGCGGATCTTGTCCTTTATTTTTTTCTTTTCTCTTTCGTTTATGACTTCCCCTTTGACCGTCCCGTCATCGGCGACCCCAACGTATATGTTCCCACCAGCGTAATTGGCAAATGCAGAAACGTAGTGTGAGAATTTATTGCCTTTTCCAACTAAGCGATCTGCAAAAGTAGTTTTTTTCGTTGGTTCGGCTTTCAACATCTTAAACTGTGTTGTTTTTGACTCGGAAAACGAAACGCATTTACCCTTCTTAAAATCTGAATGGTGCGAAGCTGCTTCAATCGGTGTTACTTGAGGCCTGATGTTCCCCAACAAGAACGCTCTGAGTTTTTCCACATTTTCGGACGACAAAATTTCCATCACTTGTTGGCTACTTGGTAAACAGCAGTGGTAGCTTAACGTGATTATGTGTTCTGTTTTAGTCGATGTTGTCACGCTTATTTTGATCTCACCATGTGCTTGGGAAGATGAGGGGGTTATTTCAACGGTATGAATATCAAACGTTAGCGTTATTGGTCCTACGAGATCTTGAATCTTCTGCTCGAGCATTCTCATGCACTTTCTCACATGTCCACGTGGTGGAGATCTATTATAACGCAGTATAAGAATTCCTCCACCACTATTATACAGGCCATCTATTGCATTGATGATTTTTTCCCACGTTTTTCTTTGATAAGTTTTTTCCCACTTGCTGCTCAGTTTTGTTGGACAGATCTCTAGTACTACTGAGTTGCTGCTCAGTTTTGTTGGACAGATCTCTAGTACTACTGAGTTGTTGGTTTGGACACCGACAGCTATTGTTTGTTCTGCCATCACTTGTCTATCATTTGCCTGTAGTACACATTAGAGACCATATGGTCAAGAGTTTAATATCCAAATATTTCTCAGTGATTATTTCTAGGAATTGGAAAAAAGGGATTATACGATCGTTAACCCAACTACTCTATCTATTAGAAGTGTTATTGCTAACATCATAATTGTTGAAGGGTTTTAGTGTATGTAATTTCAAGTGTAAATTTTATACATTATTAGACCTACCCGTGCAGCGCTCTGACCAGTTATCGAACTTGAACCATTTCAGTATTGAAAAATGGCTTTTGAGCATTCTGATTGGCTCCTCAAAAAAATGGCTGAAAATCAGACGGAAATAAATTATTTATGCGAATTATATTCATAAAATGAACACGTGTGTTAGTTGTATTTATAATTAAGAAATTCATTAATAATTCATAAAGAAAATTCAAAAGAAATGAATGTTTAATCAAGGTTTGTAAATCGGATAGAGATTTGTCTTGATTTACATAAACTTCAGCTTTGATTTTCTCGGCTTAGACGATGTGTATTTTTAAAATTACTTCACCAATAAACTCATAATATGGGTCATTTTTCAAGTACGATAAAACATTCGCATCCGATCTGTATCTGATATACAAACTCTCGCCTTCGGCTCGAGTTTGTATATCAGATCTGCCTCGTACCCAGGCGTCTCTTTGTAAAAAAAAACAGTGAAATATCAGGTAAAGATCGGCTGCTCATGTTTTATCTATTACTTATAAAACTCATCAATAATTCATAAAGAAAATTCAAAAGAAATGAATGTTTAATCAGTGTTTGTAAATCGCATAAAGATTTGTCCTGATTTACTTAAACTTCAGCTTTGATTTTCTCGGCTTAGACTGATGTTTATTTTTAAAATTACTTCGCCAATGAACTCATAAGATGGGTCGTTTTTGATAAGCACGATAAAACATTCGCATCTGATCTTTATTTGATATACAAACTCTCGCCTTCGATCGGCTGGAGTTTTTATATCAGATAAAGATCGGCTGCTGATGTTTTATCTAGTACATATTAAAACTGTTTCAATACTGAAATTATACCAAAACAATTAGTCGCCTCAGGCTATATATTCACTTCGCCTTCGGCTCAGTGAATATAGGCTTGTAATCACTTTGCCTTCGGCGACTAATTGTTAAACAGTGTAGACTGTAGTCACCACGTGTCTTCTGATTCACTGATTGGCCAGTAGTTTACAGCTAAATATGGGAATCACGCAACCTACACACAATTCGGTTATCTAGCAAATACTGTGTTATATGTAGGTTGAGCCCGCGGTATGTAATTTTTGGCAAGCGACTGTTTAATTAAGAAGGAAAAATAGCAAGAACGAAAGGCGTTTTTGTGAATGCTTTCTGTTCAAAAAGCAGACCTTTCTAGTGGCATTTTTATCGGAACTTTAGTAGGTAAATGAGATTTCTAATATTTTTATGCTGTTATTATATGATACTTTAAATCGTTTTCATTGCTTTTTTTGAAAACCAAAAGTTTTGTGCGACAAAACATTAATTGTTTGTCGAAAGAGTTAATGGAAATGCAATGTATAATAAAACAGTTATTGAATTCAGTTTTTGTGACATCAGAATTGTCAAGGTTGAGGTAAGTAATAGTATTACCAAACTCGCCTTCGGCTTGACTGTGCTGATAATACTTACCTCAACCTTGATAATTCTGGATTTCATAAAAACCCCATGCAATAACTATTTATTAAATCAGTGGCTTTAAACACAAATTCATGTATAGAAACTAAGGTGATGCATGTGTAAGATATATGGGTATTTATCAAGAATTTGGGCGTCTCACTTCATAGAATTAATTGTTGAAGGGGTGGAAAATATTGTTTATTAATACTGGATAAGGGACGCTAAGTTGGAATGCCATTTTTCCAGTGTAGGGATAAAGTTTATGTGTAGAACCTGCTGGTCAGTCCCACTTAGGACGCGTGAAATGAGCAGACAAGGAGTCAACGAAGAGACCGCCCACTCCTGTTTTTCCTACGATAGGCCAGGAATAGGACAACCGTGGGAGCACACAACAGAGCATGCGCACTGCTAGACAACGGCCAAGAAGGCGAAGAAGATCCCCGAAGGGTAAATCAGGCTACAAAGAGACCTACATGCACTGTTATATGTGGTGTTTAATTTAAATTGAACAAAAATGACACAGGAAAACCAGATTTGTACCTGGATAATAATGTCGCATGGCAGTCTGTATTTGTTCTGAAGCAGTGATGGCACGATGTGTTGTTAGAAATAGCTGGAAAACAAAATGGCAATTAATTTAAAATGTTTTTTTTTGTCGTAATATTACGATCTTGATTCTTTATAATTTTGATTGGTTAATTCTGACACATGACAAGCTTGGTTGTGTCGCTATAACTGCATAAGAGCCTTGTCTTTGTGTTTGTTTGTTTGTCTGATCTGTTTATGGTTTGCACTAACATACTCGTGTTGCACTTGGTTGTTGGTTTTTTGCATTATATGGCCGGATGCTCTTTGCTGTGACTTAGCTGCGCTAGATTTCACAAGTGACTTTGTGACTACAGAAAACTACATAAAACATGAAGATTGAAGGTCGTTTTTCCCACTCAGTCAACTTGCAAATCCCCGGTAGCCATAAAGACCGATATTAAAACTAGGCGAAGTTACATGACAGTCGTCTATTTAGGCTAAAATTGTAACTCTTATTTTCAAAGTATCATACTTAAATGCATTTATAAGTGTTGAATCAATAATTTTAAAGTAAAGTAGCCCGGCTGTTTGGAGTGTTGTACTGTTGTTGAGTCATATTTCGTAAGTAGAAATTTTTCATTACACACTTCCTCATATAAAGAATACTTCGTTTCATAAGTCGGATCGACCAATTTCCGGTAAACGTCTGTGCACTATTAATACTATACAGAATCTTCGAATTTCCTTGTATATTCTGCAAAATAATGTATTGGCTACCAGCTTTTGCTGTCGTCTAGACATTTTATCTTTTGTCTTTAATTAAACGTACTACATTATTACCACCCACCGGTGGTAATAATAGATAAGTAAATTTTCGTTTTGTTTTAAGAATGACGTGTCGTTATGCTGTCTATTTTGTAACTTGTGTCGAGTCTGTTGACTTAATTTATACTGTAGTATTGTATTATTAATTCTAAAGCGCTTTCGAAAGCTTAATTAAAACGATTACAAAAATTATCAGCCTTTGCGTGTAGCCATAGGCCTTCAAGTGTAGCCATAGCCATACAGGCATTCATTATATGTGTATAATATATTCCATGTAAATAGTACAATATGCCTTTAAAGTGAAACTCATAATGAACTTACATAGCTTTAAGTCCTAAATCTTTCTTCTCGGAAGCTGAATTCTTCCAAAGAGTGTTGGTGAATATAGCTTGCACATTTTGTTTTTAGTCGACGTTAAACAGTAGAGAAATCTTCGTTGAATTTGTTGAAAAACAATGTATTTTGGGAAAATAACACATGATACTATGAATGATATTAGTAATGCAAATGATTAAAAAGGGGAAATCCCTTTATCTGCTGGGGGTGCCTCCATGACCCTCACTATCGGAAAATTTCGTCGCTCTGAATAGTCAGGCAGATAGAAGGAAAAACTCACTATATCGAGGGATAATTCCATTATTTCTTCATCTTGTCCCCTGAAGACTAGTAAGCATATTTTTGTATGTTGTAGGCTCTTGCAACCTCGCATGTACGAACATTGGGATTCCCTGCCCTGAATTGTGGTTGTAGATACGGATGTCTCGCTGTTTATGAATGCTCGCCCACATGAATCTATAATCCTGGATTGTGTGAGTTCGTCGCTCTGAATAGTCAGGCAGATAGAAGGAAAAACTCACTATATCGAGGGACAATTCCATTATTTCTACATCTTGTCCCCTGAAGACTAGTAAGCATATTTCTGTATGTTGTAGGCTCTTGCAACCTCGCATGTACGAGCATTGGGATTCCCTGCCCTGAATTGTGGTTGTAGATACGGATGTCTCGCTGTTTATGAATGCTCGCCCACATGAATCTATAATCCTGGATTGTGTAGAGTCGCAGTATATAATAATACTGCGGACAAAGCGAAGTTAAAATAAATGTAAACATTTCGTGCTTCACCGGTTTTCAGATCGGTTATACAAGCTAGCCCAAACTCGAACTTAACGATACGCAGACCGCTGTCACAGAATAAGGCACACAGAAGGGCACCCTGGCCGCCATCTTCCTAGCCAGTCGATTACATTTTCTGGCCAATGAACGCGCTGTATTGGCTGGCCGCCATCTTCCTAGCCAGTCAATTGCATGTTTTTGCGTAGAAAAATGGGGACACGTTGCACTGCTGAGTGGCCCTTCTGGTACTGATCTTTATTCTGTGCCGCTGTGATGTACACACGGGCTGAAAATGAATGGCCTGGTGACGACGAGGACGATGGGGAACATAACGGGGCAAAATGGGACTCTGAGGGTGTTGGCAACTATTATAACCAATATTATAAACTGGATTGCCTTCCTGGGGATGAATGTTGGGATATTGAGATGGAGGGTGAGCAGGAGGATAAAGGGGGTGTACAGGATAATTGGAGTTGGAGAGAGACAAATGTACTTGATGATTGTGAGCATGAAAGGACAGAAGAGGATATTTTTGCTGATCGTCATTACACATGGTGAATATTTTAAAGAGAGAATTTAAACAGTTGTGGTAATTACAAATTACATCCACTAGCCGTTACAAACCAGACTTTTACTCATAATTCCCATAAAAGCTTTATTTGGCGTTTCACATTAGCAGTTCGGTTGAAGAAATTCTTTAAATTTGTATATAATGTTTTGAACAACGAAATGTATTTAACAAATACTTTTTATCTTGTAATTTTTTGTTGTGTAGGAAACGCCACGTTTATATATATTTATTCAAAATATATCGGTTGCTCATACTCCAAGAAAGTCCATGAAAGTCCCTATAACTTTACATCACTAATGATATATATTTACAAACATTTAGCACACATAAAACGCAGTGGCGTAGCTAGCGGTCCTGCTTGTCCTGCCCAGCAGGACTAAAAATTTCCCACAATTTCCTTACTAAAACATTGCTTTATTTATCTTGAAGCTTTAAAAATTTTCATTATCATATTGTTATTTTGTCTCATTTTCTCGTCTTTTTTGTTATTATTTTTTAAAAAGTTTTTCGCATTCTGTTATATTTACGCAATTTTATAGCTTGCTGTGTCTGTTACCTAGCAACTGCAACTCTACATTGATTTACACGCGACTCTTATTTCAGTCCTGCCATTTTCAAATGGCAGGACTTGCTAGTATATTTCATAGTAAATTCATACAAGAAATCTTGGTTTCTGATTGGATAATTAGGTCTGCGCATGCTCAAACCGACTGTTTACAAATGCGAAGTCCTGCTCTCTCGAAATGGCAGGTCTTGGCCTTGTATTGTCTTTACTTGCGAGCTTTCCGCGTGACTAAAGCCACTTTTTACTAATTCTGTCGAGATTACTCAAGTTATGAATATGGAAATCAACGAGTGTGGAAGCCCAATGTGATTTTGATATAATTTCTGGCTTCTGCTATGATATTTCAGCCGTTCCGCACGTTGTAACCAATAATTTATTGGCGTTGTAATGCCATTGTATGCAATAAAGTATTGGTTACAATGGATTTACAATTAATCCAAACGCTAATCCTAACTCAAACCCTAACCCTAATCCTAACCCCTAACCCTAACCCCACCTTCTAACCCCTAACCCTAACCCCGCAACCCCCCACCTGCTAACCCCGCAACCTAACCGCAAACCCTAACCCCGGCCAGCTACCCCTCCGGGGAATTGCCCTACCGACTCCCCTCCATCCGCCAAGCAAAGCCAATTACACTTATAACTAAAACTTTTGTGCAGTGGTTGTGGTTTTGTTTTCAGTTACAACCCAATACTTTATTGCATACAATGGCATTACAACGCCAATAAACTATTGGTTACAACGTGCGGAACGGGTGGATATTTTAGCTCACGAAATGCATGTGAACAGACTCCATGATGATTGTGTATTTTTATAATACAATATAATGGGGAATACAAACTTCATTTGTGAAGCCTTTACGTCGTAATGTCGGGAGCGATTATAGAATACCCGGCCACTTTTGAATTTTGATAGTGTTTGCTTTTGGGGGATACGGGGATACGCAGTCATTAAAATGACGTAATTATTCGAGTAGTTTAAGAGGAGAATGGGTAACTATTATATTTCAATGATATGGGGATACGGGGATACGCAGTCATTAAAATGACGTAATTATTCGAGTAGTTTAAGAGGAGAATTGGTAACTATTATATTTCAATGATACGGGGATACGCAGTCATTAAAATGACGTAATTATTCGAGTAGTTTAAGAGGAGAATGGGTAACTATTATATGTCAATGATACGGGGATACGGGGATACGCAGTCATTAAAATGACGTAATTATTCGTGTAGTTTAAGAGGAGAATTGGTAACTATTATATTTCAATGATACGGGGATATGGGGTACGCAGTCATTAAAATGACGTAATTATTCGTGTAGTTTAAGAGGAGAATTGGTAACTATTATATTTCAATGATACGGGGATACGCAGTCATTAAAATGAAGTAATTATTCGAGTAGTTTAAAAGGAGAATTGGTAACTATTATATTTCAATGATACGGGGATACGCAGTCATTAAAATGACGTAATTATTCGAGTAGTTTAAGAGGAGAATGGGTAACTATTATTTTTCAATGATACGGGGATACGGGGATACGCAGTCATTAAAATGACGTAATTATTGGAGTAGTTTAAGAGGAGAATGGGTAACTATTATTTTTCAATGATACGGGGATACGCAGTCATTAAAATGACGTAATTATTCGAGTAGTTTAAAAGGAGAATGGGTAACTATTATTTTTCAATGATACGGGGATACGGGGATACGCAGTCATTAAAATGACGTAATTATTGGAGTAGTTTAAGAGAAGAATGAGTAACTATTATTTTTCAATGATACGGGGATACGGGGATACGCAGTCATTAAAATGACGTAATTATTGGAGTAGTTTAAGAGGAGAATGGGTAACTATTATTTTTCAATGATACGGGGATACGGGGATACGCAGTCATTAAAATGACGTAATTATTCGAGTAGTTTAGGAGGAGAATGGGTAACTATTATTTTTCAATGATACGGGGATACGGGGATACGCAGTCATTAAAATGACGTAATTATTGGAGTAGTTTAAGAGGAGAATGGGTAACTATTATTTTTCAATGATACGGGGATACGGGGATACGCAGTCATTAAAATGACGTAATTATTCGTGTAGTTTAAGAGGCGAATTGGTAACTATTATATTTCAATGATACGGGGATACGGGGATACGCAGTCATTAAAATGACGTAATTATTCGAGTAGTAAGAGGAGAATTGGTAACTATTATTTTTCAATGATACGAGGATACGGGGATACGCAGTCATTAAAATGACGTAATTATTCGAGTAGTAAGAGGAGAATGGATAACTATTATTTTTCAATGATACGAGGATACGCAGTCAAATCGTGCTCATTTGATATGCAAAATTTATACTAATGCGTAATATTTTGTGCGGGGTTTATTGAGAACGAGAACTACAATATATGAGTAATATTTTGTGCGGGGTTTATTGAGAACGAGAAATACAATATATGAGTTATAT